AAAGTAACGTTGCCATATATGGTACCAACATAGAGTCGACCCCAACATAGAGTCGAGTTAACATGGCTTAGATACTAGTGAAAGGTAATTGTAATTTTGTAGACACACTGCAGTATTCCTCCACCATAACTTTATCTGTGACAGAATTCGATGTACGGATACCGCTAGTTGATTCATTGCTGTTAAGTGAGAAACTGGGAGAACTGTATTAAGATCACCGTACTTTTGGGTGTTGAACGTGCGAGCTGTATTAGATTTGTATGAAATTTCCTGGAAAAGAAGTCTTAAGTACAGCAGAAACAAAATCGATTCACATATATGGTTACGATTTAACCTTATATAATATGGTCCTAAACTTATTTCCATGCTACAAAAAACTGATTTGGTACAAGTGCAGTTAACTGTCTTTCAAGATGGTTAAAGATACAAAACCTGCCCCCAAAAAATTTTTGAAGATTGAAATCGACAAATATGGTTTGAAATGAACCACATAAATATGTATGGAACAAAAACGGACAAAACTGTCGTTATTTGTAGTCGTAGAAGGCTGAACTTTAAACAAAAGCTTGTGTTGGACAAATAAATTAAAGCTGGAAAAGTTTTGCCAATTTAAATGAAAACACTAGAAGTTTGCAAATAAAAATAGTAATAACTGTTTATTCTATAAACGCAGAATGGATTGGTAACAAGTAATATATATATTATATAAAAAAAATAGGTCAATTCCTACTTAGATCAACAAAGAAATTTTTTACTTTAGTTACTTTTTATTAAATAATTAATACTATTTTTTCTCCCATATTAAACTAAAATTAATTAATTAAATTTAATTAATGAATTAATATTTGGAAAACTGTATTAACATTAAGTGTCATCTACTATAACAGGGGAGGCCAAGCTCCTTCATAGTCGAGCCATTTTTTCAAATTTGAAATTTTTCGCGAGCCGCAATTAAATGCGTATTTAAGTGGTATGCAAAAAAGGGCATTAAAAAATTTTTTTTTTACAGAAATTATATTTATTGAAAACATATAAATTAAAATACAAAATATGTGTATTGAAATTAAGTACTAAAAATTAAACACATTTATTTTACTTCTCTTGATAATTCATTAAAATTTGGTGAATAATTGGTGACCACTTAGCTGTAATTCGTTGAGATGCTGGTTAGTTAATACTGATCAGTGTTGGGATTTCACGAATTTTAAAGTGAAATAAGATGATTCACACAAGTACGTTGTTCCGAATATTGAAATAATTCGACCAGCAGCCTTTTTTAATTCAGGATACTTCGATTCTGGTACAAATTTCCTAAGTTCAGTAATCAACGTCGACTTATATTTTAATTGTAGAGCTTGATCTTCTTGCATCTCTATTAATTCTAATTCATCAGATGCTTTTTGGGTCATAATTATATTGGAAATGGAAAACTCACCTTGAATTATGTTAATTTCAAATAGATTCAGAAAAATATTAAAATATAATAGCACAAAAATGAAAAGGAAACTCGGGTACATTTATCGAGAGCCACAAATAATCCTTTAAAGAGTCGCATGTGGCTCGCGAGACACAGGTTGGCCACACCTGTACTATAAGTTTGAAAGAAAAAAAATGTTTTTGAACTAGAGTGGAGGAATAAAAAGTATTTTATTAAAGATTGAAAAAATTGAACAAGATAAAGGGAGAGTGGGAACTAATAGTAGGAATTAAAAAAAAAAAAAATACAAGTTAAGAAGTAAACGAAATATTAAAATAGTACAATTGTCCATCCAAAATGGCTCGGTAAAAAATACAAGCTAGAAAAATAAACGTAATATTAAAATAGTACTACTGTTCATATTATAAGCGCAAAATAGGTCGGAAGAAAGTGAAAGGTGTGTTTACTATCTTTTAAATTAATTTTCGGAAGTAGATTGTGTGGTGTTTCCTAACCTCCTTCCGAAGGAGGAAATTCTGGTGAATGACCTACTATAGATGTTATGTCATAGTCCTTGAAGCATTTTTTCTTTCATTTTATTCTCACCTATTTCGCAAGATAATGAAATTTTTTTCAAATTTGGGAAAGTATACATTTACATACATTTATTACGGAAAGGAGCATTTGAGCATCGATTTGTTATGATTAGTTAAATCGAAAAAAATATAATAGTATACTTCAAAGTAGCATTTGAAAAGCTTAAAAAATATCGTATTAATTATAATTTTTGAGTAGTTTTTAAAAATTTTATTCTAGTTAGAACGAGCGATTTATTGCACAACAGATCGAAAAAAAATGCTTAACTATTTTTTAATTTTTATGGAATTCTTTAAAAATAAGTTAAAACTAAATACGCACTTTTCAACTTTAAGGTATGCGGAAACAGTTGCAGGCTTGGATTTTACGGAAAAGAGAAAATTTAAGAGATTAAATTTAGAGATTATTGGCAATAAAATGATAAGCCACGTTTTCAAATGATTTAAGAAGGCATTTTTTTTGGGAAAATATCACGATTTTCATGTAAGCATTAATAAAATTTTATGTCTTGGACTGATAAACCTCCTTAAATTTACTTATTGCCTACCTCGAAGTAACAAAATAATACCTTTAGGATAAATATAGGTTATCGGTATATCGTCCTAAGTTTTCAAATCGTGGTTTTTCTAAAATAATAGTAATAAGCTCAACGGTTCTGCAAGGTAATAAGCATATTTTTCACACAACATGAATTTTTCTCTCTTCTTTGCATAAAAATAAGCTCCACGGTTCTTCAAGCTAATAAGCATATTTTTCACACAACATGAATTTTTCTCTCTTCCTTGCATAAAAATAAGCTCAACGGTTTTGCAAGTTAATAAGCAAATTTTTCACACTATTTTTCTCTCTGCTTTGCATAAAAATTTCGTAACTACAATTCTTTATGTTAGTGATAGTCAAATTAGTGATATCTTGAACAACTTTTGTAAAAATGAAATAATTTTTTCCTTTTTAATCCACTTAGGAATCACAGTTTTTAAAATTTTAATTAAATTTTAATATTATTTTTAATTTTTAGTTTTAACTTGATAGCTTATAAATATCAAAAAGGTGTCAAAACTTCGATTGGCCATAAAATGGAGATGTATTTTACTTGTAACGCTTAGGAAACATTTTTAATTTGTATTAGCATTAGGCACAGAGCTGCTGTTTTAACTTGAGCTCTCTAACTAGTTGAAAAATGGCTGAAATTCCAATTGACAATAAATTCCAATTGGTAATAAAATGGTGATAAAATTTGCTTGGGGAAAAATTTGAATATTCTAGCTAGTATGGAAATAGTTGAAATTTCGATTGTAACTTTCAACTTAGAGAGAAAACGAAAGTGACTTAATAAAGAAGTAGCAATAATAGCATGTAAAATAATGACAAAAAATATAGCTGTTTTTACGTTAGATTACATAAACAATAAATTTATTAAAAAATAAATTTCTCTTTTGAAGAATTAATTACAATAGTTCAGAAATGAGAAAATTTAAAATATTTGCGTTAAAATTTATCAGTGATGCGTCCACTGTTACCTATAATTTCTTATGACCTATTCTAGATGTATTGTAATCTAATCATAAATGCCGAGTTTCAAATTAAAGTTATTTCCGATGGTGAGTTCCGGTTTTTACTTTCTTTTGCTGATGGATGATATGTAATGTTCGCATCATTTTTCCAATAGGAAATGGAGTTCTTTGAGTGAAATCATCAGGAAGTACACCTGAAACGACGTGCGAAAAGTTTCCTTGTCCATTTAAAGTGGGACACAGAAGATGTAGCTTAGAGCTTTCACTCATTATGTAACTTGGAAGGAAGGACAATTCACCTTGGAATGAAAGGCGGCATGGTAAGTGAAAGTAAAGCTTTCCTTCTTACTTCCTTTTTTTTGCATTTATTTTTAAATACCTTTTTTTCTCATTTAAAGTGTTGTTTGTTTATAAACATTTAATTAATTTGGTATTTGCAAAGTTTTTTGTGACAATGGACATTTTGGATGATTATAAAGGATGATGTTGAATTTAGAAAAGTGAAAAAAAGGGACCCAAATGAAGAGACTACGTAAGGGACCTAAAACAGACTTACCAGAAAAATTCTGTTGTTATTTTGTCTGAAAATGAATTTCTTGAAAGAAAATCAATGTATCCGAAGTACTAATTACTTTAAAATTACAAACTTTCATAAACGCGTCTTATTGGGTCGGCAACTAAGTTTTCTCCATTTTCCTAGTTTTTTTTTTAAAAAATGGTTCCGGAGGTAAATGTTTTTAAAAAGTGGTAAAAGAAATTTTTTTTAAAGTGGTTTTCTTAAAAGTTGTTAAAAAAGTGGTTCCCATTTTTTTTTGGTTATTGGAACCTTAAGCGATTGAGTTTTGGATGATTAAGCGATTGAGCTTTGGATGATTATAAAGGATGATGTGGAATTTAGAAGAATGCTAGAAAAGTGGGACCTAAATGAAGAGACTACGTAAGGGACCTAAAACAGACCTACCAGAAAAATTCTGATGTTATTTTGTCGGAAATTGAATTTCTTGAAAGAAAATCAATGTATCCGAACCACTACTTACTTAAAAATTACATATTTTCACAAATGTGTCCTATTGGGTCGGCAACTAAGTTTTCTCCATTTTCCTAATTTTTTTTTAAAAAGTGGTTCCAGTGGTAAATGTTTTTAAAAAGTGGTAAAAGAAAATTTTTTGAAAGTGTTTTTTTTTAAAAGTTGTTAAAAAAGTGGTTCCCATTTTTTTCCAGTTATTGGAACCTTAAGCGATTGAGTTTCGTTTGGCGGAACCCCGACTTTATAAATAAAGTTTATTAGCAGGTGTGAATTTAATAACTAGCAAAAGACTGCAAATTGATTTAAAAGAAGTTATTTCCCTCTTACATCATTTAAAGTCTTAAAATTTGTTCTTATGCTGCACAGTTGAATTCGCAAGTCTTTAGTAGCTTCTAGTCTAATATTTTTTGTCTTATCTATAAGTTGAATAAAAATTTCCATTCTTTTATTTGTACTTTGTATGAAGAATAACCATTATTACTTCTAAACTATTCATTCTATTCACACGGATTTTACCTCATTTAATTCAGTTCGAAAAGTTACTCGAAAAGTTAAACTCTAGGTGAATTTAATAATTAAATTTTTAATTATCATACCAAATAATATTTTTTTTCATATTTCATATTTTGACCAATATTTAAAATAAATTTAAGAAAATGTCACTTTTTAATATACTGAACTCAAACTGAAAAATTATTTTGAATAGTAAAAGATTTGCTAATTATTAAAGTAATTAGTTACGTAATTAACTAATTTGTAAGAAATTTTAAAATTATTTTTAAAACAATCTTTTCAGTTACACCGGAGAGTACAAAGAATAATTAATAATTATCGTTTCATCAAGTTTTATATATATATATACATCGTAGAAGAATCAATTCAAAGAACGTACCTAATGCACCATTTGCGAACTGCTGGAAACCTTGGAAAGGTGAGCTAACGAGATATTTTTCGCAAACAAGACCTTGATTTAAAACTGCTTATAATTCCATCTTTAGTACAATCATTATAATGAGGAATTGTAAATTAATTAACGAAAAAAACGTAATACGAAGAAAAAGAATAACGATGGTTAACGAAAAGAGTAGCAAAATTTTATTTGACAACAGCCTTTTTTGCAGACGAATTTTTTAAAATTTTTTTTAAGATCAGAAACTAAGTATTTTATTATTATTTTAGTAATTTAGTAATAAGTTTATTTACGGTGCTAAGCTGCATGAAGGATGTAAGAAATTGTGTATCTTACAACTCAAAATTGTTTTGACTATTATTATAAAAAAAATAATAAATACTTACTAAAAGTTATTTTTTGCATGGAATCATCTTCAAATGAGCGAATTTCAGAATTGTGTGAAAATTTTTTCAATTCGTTTAAAAAGTTATACGGCGAGATGTACGCATAAAATATAATTAACACTAAGGGGTCCAAACTTTAGAGCGCTCTGTTGATCAAACAATGGGGACCATAGTTCCCAGATTTCAGCCATCCTCTATATTTGAGTCAGAAATCCGAAACTGCAAAAAAAAAAAGAAAAAAAAAAAAAGGATATGTTTATTCATTAACGGTAAAAAAAGGATGTGTTTAAGCGTACTTTCTGTGAAAGTACGTTTTGATCGCAAAGATCTGGGGGTTAGATTTAAAGTTATTCAGAACGGTTCCTTTCTTCTTTCTTTTTTTACGCATTCTTATTAGTTTACAGGTGCACAAAATAGCTGATTTGGTGATCCATATGCGTTTGAATTCCTAATTTATAGATAGTTAATTTATATAAAAATGCTAATTTGCAAGTGCATATGTGTTTAGGCAATATTAACTTTTAAGCTACTGTAAATTTTCGATGAATAAGGAGATAATAATTTGTGGCAGCTTAGAATTACATACTACAAGCAAGAAAAGTTTTCCTTTTGAGAATATTATTTTCAATACGAAATATCTTTATAAGTCACAAAGTTGTAGAAATAAAGTAATTTATATTTCATTTAATACCTCTCTGGGCCATGCGATCGCAGTAGGTTTTATTACAAAGTTTGTTTTTTGTTTTGTTTTGTTATGTTTGATAGTTAAATGCTACTCTGGCAGAACTTAATGTTTAGTTTTGTATACACTCTTATAAAATTCAATATTGAACCATAATATCTGAAGCCTTAACCACAATATCCTGTAAAAATCTTTAACATTTAATAAAATCATGCACTGAGAATACAAGTATGGTCAAAACTAGCAGAATGTGATAAATACCGTGCTTCTTTCTCTATGGGAATAACAAAATAATCCTTAATTTTTACTGAGGAGCTTTGGAAATGATTTTGATAAAATTAACAAATATATAGTGTTTTATAATGTGTGATAATATTTTGGTCGTTTTATCATGATTCCTTAGAACATTACATAAAAACCATTTAGTTGGTTGAATTTACTTTTCAGTTTTGTATTGTTTATTAAATGTGTGGTAGTAAAATCTAAAATTTTGAAAACCAAAGTTTTACCATGCAAGCGGAAAAATTACGAAATGAATGATTCAAATACAGTATATTGGGATTTTATAACCAGATATAAGTTCTTTTTTATTTTTGAAACTAAAAATATCATACTATACCCTACGCTAATTTTACTAGAATTTTATTTTCCGTGTTGTATCGTTCAATTCAAACTATATTACTGTATAAGCAAATTAAAAATTGTATAATTTACAGGTTAATAATGTTCATCATTGTATCTCTTTAAGATTGCAGCATGTTTGTATCATATCGTGATGCAACATGGCCTGAAATTTTTAACATTGTACTAAACAAAGTACATACTATACTTAATTCTGATTATATGCATGAAGATTAAAATAAATACACATAAGTGCAGTTTGTGGAAAACAAATCATAAATCTATATTCTGATATCCATTAACTGTCTATGTATACATTATTAGAAATTTTGGGGGTGAGCTGAATCATCTTACAGTTAAAATTTGCTGTACCGATATGATAACATGTATTCAACTTAACAATGTGGTGCTTAGGAAGTTGAACCAATTTTAATCTACTTTAAGACTACCATGGTTCAACATGAGTGAAATGGGGATATAGATCAGTTTAGCCACTTAGACAGGTTGCAGCAAACTTGCTCTGTATTACGGCTTGAGATATACCAATATTATGTGGGTGTTGATGAGGGTATATGCAACCGATAGTATCGTACTATATTATGTTGCGTGCAAAGACAGTTACTTAAAGTTATTGAATTTGTGAAGAGTAATGTATAAAATTGGAGATTTGAATTAATTTTTTTTCAGTCTAAGCTGTTTATTTGTCAACATTTGAAGCACGGAGAAATGAATTTTAATTGGTATTGACTCGATTTAATTAAGTAAATTTGAAAAGAAATAGAACAAACGATATCAACACCACCAGTGTTGACATTGAAAAATTCAATGGCGGCTGTAGTTGAAGGAATACATACAAATCGGTCATTAATGGTAATTATCTTTAAACGGGGTTAATTCCAGGTGAATAAAAAAAAGAAGAAAAAAAAAACGTTTTGCTATTTATCACGTGATTTCATTTTCAATGCGATTCTGTTCTTTGAACTATTTTTTTTTCGTAATTTTTCTTTTTAACGGTAGAGTAATCCTAATCAGTTTGTGTCAGTAGGTTTTGTTCTTACTGATCGCGATTGCCAAAAAACCTGCAATTTCTCGTTTAATTTGAATTACGAACGTAATTCTCATGTTTGTAAGGGCTCAGAACACTCTCACTAAGTGCTTAGTCACGCTTCGTTAATCTACCGGAAGTACTTGTCTTAATGATCAGACAAAACCTGTAAACATAAACTGACGTTTTATCATTAAAAGAAAGTAGACGCAGTTTTTTTTTTTTTACGAACAATTTGGAAGTTATTCTGTTTATAAATAAGCTAACTTAAACAATGTATAAAATATTCAAAAGATTAAAAACAATTATACAAATCTGTGTCATTTATGAAAAGAATACGATTAAAAAGGATTAGTGAAAGTAAAACTGATTAGACACGTCTTACTGTTATATTTTTGTTTTATTTTTTAATTGCGATTACAATTATTATATTGAAATATAATATGTATCTATATAATGGGATATAGTTCTAGTTTTTATTTCAACGTTCAATTAATTTCTCTTACTTTGTTACATTGCAAGTAGCTCCTGTAAATTAAGGCTAGTACTTTAAATTAAACTTCTGAAGAAAAAAAAAGTAATTCTTTTTATTTAATGTCATTTTAATTGTAATGAACAAACTACTGCATTTAATAATTACAACAATATGATTGATAATTGTAATTCTTCCTTTTTGTGTTTACGCATAGTTGGATTGCAAAAAATAATAATAATTCGTAAATAATTAAAAAAATAATTAGGATTATTGAAGGCCATATATCATATGCCGCAATTACAGCCGTTAATATTTATTTTGAATCCTTTTAATAAATGAAGTTAAAAAGAACGCTATGTTAGTGGATGAGCGAGAAGAAGCACGTGTTTCTGATCTAAGAGCAATCGTTATTGAGTTCAAAAAGTGCGAAAATAAGATTAAAATAACCAAAAATCAGTTCATTTGTCTGGTGGAATTGAAGTCTACTCATCTGTCTCACACAAATAAGTTGGTTTTAGATTATTCTAATCCCTGTTTAACTTTTAACTTTTTTTTTACATCGATTGTGTTTAGTTAGAGTTTCTAAACATTTTTAAATTTATATTTCTGATTTATGAAACATTAATTTTCTATCTCTAATGTTCATAATTTTTAGACTTGAAAAGGGTTCTAAGCATTCAGGTATTAAGGGCAATCATAACCCATCGTAGTGGTGTATTTAGAATCTAAATTTATGGTCTTTAGTTGTCACTGTCTGCATTATAATTCAGATTCAAGAAACTTATTCATCATATATCGATTTGCTATTCACAAGTTATACTGATTGCAGATTCGAATTCATGAAAACTACTTCGTATTAACGTAATTTATGAGTCATAAATGATCAAAATTATTGCTGATAATAAAGAATCATGATACAGGCTAATTCTTAAAAAAAAATTAATTGGCAAGCAATTTTTCTAGATAAGTTTGTTTGAAAATTTGAAGGAGTGTATTTCTTTCCCTCTGTATTTGTATTCCTGCTTGCAAAATCAGGAGCTAGTTCGTATGAATATTAATTATCTTAAGACTTCGAATAAGCTGTGATAACTCAAAAAAAAAAAAAAAAGCTAATAGCTACATCAGCAAAGAGTGATGAATTTTGCCAAAGCAAACATATTTTATCATGCTAGGTATTCAGAGTGAGTTTTAAAGGCTTGTCCATTGCTAGTTTTTCTTTTAATTTGTAACACTATGACTTAAGTTACTACTTTGTTTACTACTTTGTTAGGTTTTCAGGAACTAATATTATAATTATTTGCAGAACGGGATTTGTTTAGAATTGGTTTCATATGAAAGAATGCTTGGATGTAATACTTTACAACAATATTCTCACATGGTCCAGTAATATTAGACTTCTTCTTCAGAAAATTATTACCAAAGATTTTTTTTGATAAAAAGCTTTGTTATGTTATTATAAATGATGAAATACTTGTGGGAAATATGGGCGATTTGAAGGAAAGCGTTAAAAACTGAGCAAGAAAACAATGAGTAAAGCTATTAGTTATTCTTAGTCTTAGTCTATAAGTTCTCTTACCTTTACAGACGTGACAATTATTTGTAAGTGAATTTGAGAATTTGAATTAGTAAAATTTTTCACAGAGCATTTTACTTGTTATTTTTTTATGTTTGTTAATGTTGTTATTTTTAAAAAAAATTTCAGTTGAAGTGAAAACCAAAAGGAATCAACATGTCATCTCTATGTTTAATTGCAATGGTGACGGATAGTCACCTGCTCCCATGGCCACACTCTATGTTTTCTGCGCATCACCTCACGTTCTCAACATGGACAGCGACAATAGTCACCGTTCTCTTGATGATTACTTTTTTTGCCCAAAGCACTGCCGTAGTACTCATGGCTGATCCATCCATCAATTTAAGACATTTGCTCTGGGGAGGTGAAATCAGAGGTACTCTTAAAACAAATTTATGATTTTTTTTTGTCTGATAAATGTGCAGAGCTTAAAAAAGTAAACATTTTTATAACTTTTGATATATGGTCAAAGTTTCGCTTCAGTGTTCGCTTTTGATAAAGTTCTTTCAGTGTTTCAAGACATATATGGGTATCTTCAGAAAAATTTGACGCTCTCATTTTAACATGAAATCAGTTTTAAAAGAATCGTGCTTCTTGAAAAACTTTAAAAAAATTTGCAAAGTGTCTTCTTTATTATTTCTTTAACATGTGCGATGGAAATATCGTGTTTTGGACAAAATAAAACTATTTTTAAGATATTCTTTCAGTTTGCAGACTTATATGGGATGTATTATACGGATATAGTGTTTTAAGACTTATAAGGATTATAGGGGTTATAAGACTTATATCTTCAGAAAATTTGGCGAGCACATTTTAACATGAAAGCAGTTTTAAACGAATCGCGCTTTTCAAAAAATTAAAAAACAAAAATTAAAAAGTGCTCTCTTTATTATTTCTTTAATATTTACTCTGAAAATATCGTGTGTTTTGGACAAATTAAAACTATTTTAAAAGTAGTCTTTCAGTGTTTTAAGACATATATGGGAATCTTCAGAAAATTTGACGCTCACATTTTAAAATGAAACCAGGTTTAAAAGAATCGCGCTTTTCAAAACATTAAGAAAAAATATTTACGCCAGGAAAAAAGTACCATGCCCATGTTTTTATCTTAAGAAAGAATAAAAAAAAAAGAACAACTTTTAAATTATACTAAATAAACTGATTTTATATAAATTGAAATTAGGAAAGAAAAACCGGTATTCATTCCAGTGGAAAGTATTAAATGAGTCACGCTATTATATCACATGATGATTTAAACGCTCCGCGCAAAAGTCGATATTTTCTTATTTTTCCCGATCAGGTTTATAAGCCTACAAAAAATGAAACATTTTTCTAAAGAAAGAAGAAGAAAAACCCCTCGAAGAAAACATAACGTTGAAAAAATTAAATTGTTGACTTTTTTATTATATATTGTATCTATGTTATTCATTAAAGGTAAAGTTATACAAAATATGCAAGCAACAATTTATTTATTCTTATAAATTTTCTACTACTGCTTACTTATTATAACCTCCAAATATGATTTTAGGTTCTAGATCAGCAGCTCCACGTTCCTCTTTGATACAAGAATGAAGCATATATGTATTTGTTCCTTTGTCATTGTAATTAATCATTCTTCTTTTATTAATTTGTTTTTATAATAACAATGTCATATAGTTCTAATAAACATTTTTAGTTTACGTAATAAGATTTCTCTAATAACTAATAATGCATTTTAAACACTCAGGTAATTAAAGTCATATGTATGACTTTGAACGTTTACAAAAGAAGATTTTATACTTGTACAGTGCATGTGTTCGTATAAATCATCATATGTTTTTTCTTATTATTAATATTCAAAATAATTATTCACAGTTGATTAAGATGATTAATTTTTAGTGAATTTATGAATTATGATGAATTTTTAATAAATAAAAAACGACGTCGAGAAAATTCGTTCAAATTTTAATGATAAGGGGAATCTTTCTTTAAAAACTAAATATTTTTAAAATTGAAAAAAAAAAATTGCAGCTCAGTGTATTTTTTAAAATAAATAATAACCAAAAATTAATTAAATAAAAAAAACAAAACAAAGAGATAGAAGCATTCGGTTTGTTATGTTTTGCTTAGGAAACGAGATGATTTATTTTCATTAAGCTTCAAAATTTGCCACAAAGTTCGTCATCGGATGGAGCTGCTATCTGAAAATCTACCATTATGCTATTTGTGGCTAATTATCTGATATTCGTCAATGGACCAAATTAAGAAATGCCTGTGTAAATATTTTACCTGGAATGGTCAGGCATATAGTTAAAAATATTATCATGTGGATTTACAACAGTCAGTGACTCCATCTGTTGGCATTTTGTTTAATTAATTTCTAATTTTGGCAAAAATTGTATCTGGTCTCGTTAGCGGAACGTAGATTAAGTTACATTTCGATCTCTTTTCGTTTTTTTGGGTCATTTTTAAGTTAGGTCACTATTGGGACACCTGGCATTTCCTTTTAAGAATGTAGCATGCAATCTAAAGCATATTTGTAATTAACTTTTCCTTTAAAGGGTTTTCTTACTGAAAACAAATTCCTTCATGTTATCTCTAGAGAAGTATATTAAAAAAGTTTCATTTTTGTTTTTTACTTTTATTAATTAATATTTCGAAATATTTTTTGTTTCATTTCATTCATTGAGCGTACTTACCAAATATTTGCTTATATGTATTTTTTTTTTGGTTTATTGAATAATTTACACTGAAAAAAAGTATGGTCAGAGCTACCAGAGTATGGTAAATTTTACCATATTTTTTGCTCCATGAGAACACCAAATAGCTCGGTAATTTTTACCGAAGCACTTTGGTAGTGATTTTGATAAAATTAACAATAATATACGCTTTTATAATGTGTGATTAAGTATGGTAGATGTAAAATTTGGTAATTTTATCAGGATACCTTAGATCATGGTATAAAAAAGATTTATTCGGTAAGATTTACTTTTTAGTTTTGCATTTTTTACTAAATGTTTGGTAATAAGAACCATTTTTGAAAACCAGAATTTCCGGTGAACTGTAACCATATGTATGAAAAAATTGAACGGTTTAAATAATAATGCATGTTTTGGTTTTTAATACCAGAATCATAGTTCTTTTCTTCATTACCAGAGATTTCATTACCGCTTAGTATGGCAATTTTACATAATTTTTTCCTTTGTGTAAAAACAAATCGACGTTTAACACCTACAGCAAAATACACTGCAATATCAAAAAGGTACTTAAATTTCAATTTGAGTTTCTTGGAAAACTCAGTTTCACTTTTTTAATTTAGGTTCACTTTTCTTTGATACTAGTTTTCTAAAGTGGTTTATTAATTATCGATAATGACTCACTGATACAGTAAGATGGTCAACTAACGAACCATTTTTCTTAGAACGGAGTCAAGAACCGAACAAAAATAATTAAAGTTTTTCTCAATATTGTTTCTAACAACAGAGGCAATTCTTGGGATGTGGGCAACAAATGTGATAAGTTAAAGAATCAAGAAAAAAAATTCCATTCAAATAAAACTCTGGGTAACTTCAAATGAGCACATTGTTCTTTTCCAAACCACAACAAGTTGATTTCGAAAATGATGAAAACACGCTTATTGGTAAGTTATTTTATGATTCTTTGAAATATTGCTTTAATCTTTTAATAATTCAATTCTTTTAATAATAATTTTTACTTACTTTAATATGCTTAGAACTATAATTTTGAAATTATTTTATGAAAGATAAAACAGTAAAACCGATAATCATATCTTCTTAACTTTGTCCCGCAGTAAAAATTTATAAGAGAAATAAACTAGCTAAATTCTTTTACTTATATTTTTCTTAAGGCTACAGTGGACCTTCAAAAAAAAATTTTTTTTTATCTTTAAAAGTGAATTTTTTTCTTCTTCCAACATGTATCTTAGCTAACTAATTATATTCTGAAAGTTTAGAAAAAAAATTTCCAGCCATTTTTGAAAAATTCAATTTTTTTAAAAAAAATTTAATAATTTTTAAAATGCTCCCAACGGCTTTTATTTTGAATTTTTTAATTTCTGTTTTTAGTTTTGACTTTAATAGATATATCTTAACAGAAGTTCGGATGAGGAGCAACAGTACACAAATTAGAATTATAAATATAGAACAAAATAAATTTTAAAATTAAATTTTCTCTAAAACAATAGATTTCGTGATAAATAAATACCTATAACTTATTTGCTATTTATGATAATTCAGAAATGCATCCTAACATTTATTCTAACATATCTAGTAAATGTCATAAGTAAAAATCAAGGCAATTAGATGAAAACCGAGCTCCCTGGAACGTTTTGAAAAATTGAATATTTACAAAATTTTCATTTTGAGAAAAACAGATTTTTGTAAATGACAATTGAAATTTTGTCACTATGATGAGTTTTTGTTTATTATCAAGCAATTCGCACATAATCAATTGCTTAGAACAACAAAAATAACATAAAATAGTAAATAAAAGTGAAATTGTCATTTACAAAAATCTGTTTTTCTCAAAATGAAAATTTTGTAAATATTCAATTTTTCAAAACGTTCCAGGGAGCTCGGTTTTCATCTAATTGCCTTGATTTTTACTTATGACATTTACTAGATATGTTAGAATAAATGTTAGGATGCATTTCTGAATTATCATAAATAGCAAATAAGTTATAGGTATTTATTTATCACGAAATCTATTGTTTTAGAGAAAATTTAATTTTAAAATTTATTTTGTTCTATATTTATAATTCTAATTTGTGTACTGTTGCTCCTCATCCGAACTTCTGTTAAGATATATCTATTAAAGTCAAAACTAAAAACAGAAATTAAAAAATTCAAAATAAAAGCCGTTGGGAGCATTTTAAAAATTATTAAATTTTTTTTAAAAAAATTGAATTTTTCAAAAATGGCTGGAAATTTTTTTTCTAAACTTTCAGAATATAATTAGTTAGCTAAGATACATGTTGGAAGAAGAAAAAAATTCACTTTTAAAGATAAAAAAAAATTTTTTTTTGAAGGTCCACTGTAGCCTTAAAAATTCATAAAATTCTATATTTCACATATTACCTCCAATAAGTTTAGCAATACATTTTATTTATTTAGCGTACCTATGATGATTAGAAATATGATTTTAAACATATTTTTAGAAAAAGCAAGACTGCAAAAATGATAAATATCTTTACAACTTCGACGTACTTTAAAATTCGAAAAGTGTTATGAATTGTTTGTTTGTTTTTGTCAGGTACACAAAACAAAAATATATCATGGCTACAATAAACTCCCTAAGCAAATAATGAATCTAAGTTAAGTAAAAGACACGGAACAGAAAGTATTATATTTTAACAAATTCGATGTGTGGTACGGCACTGTATATAATTAACTTCATGTTAATTAGCGACAAGTTAATTAACATTCTAACTTGGGCGGAGAAACTTAGCTCAACTTTAACACCCCAGTTTGCATATAACCGATCAGCTGGTGCTGGCGACATAGGTTATATGTATGGGTATCCGTAGTCTTCTTCTTCTTGAAGTGTAAATAACCAATTATAAATGAAATAAGCTGGAAAAATTCTGTATCATACATACGGACGAACATGCCTTCAATGATTTTTTCTGATGGAACAGACCTGAATTGGAGTTAAATGGCGAGGAAAACCATGAAACACTCCCTCGGTTACCTCGAATCCATGATCCGTTTACTAGTAATGATATCTTACGTCTGCACTGTTTTCTTTGCGAACCGACTAGCCATCGCTAGGATTTGAACCTGGGGCATCTCATTGGGATTATGTATTATATATCTTCAAACATCCTTAAACATTCATTAGCATAAAGTTAACGATAGACCCATTAAATTACGCTCTTGTACGCAAAAATTCGATCCCAAATTTTGTTTTGTGTTTTGTTTAATTGCATTTACAAGCAGTCGATATGTTCGTACAATTCTATATTTTTAACACTTTTTATAATATATAAAGTACAGTAGGGAACCGATTATCCGGAACGATCGGGACCATCGCTATTCCGGATAACTGATTTTTCCGGTTTTCTGAATCGATAAAAAAAGCCGTTTTCTTACTGTTAAACCCAACTAAAAAAAGTAAAAATAGTTGGAAATAATCTTAAAAAGAAGAAAAAACGATGAAGTAATACACTAATGATTATTTCCAAAATGAAGGTAAGGTAAACATCTTTCAAAAAAGAAAGAAAAATCCTGAAATCTTATGAGGAAAAAAAATTTTTTTTTTTAAAAATGGTGGGGAAATTTATCGAATTTCGTTCCGGTTTTTTGGTTTTCCGGTTTTCTGATTTCCGGATAACGGGTTCCGTACTGTACTTAATACGTACAATACGCAAAAAAAATGGACCACCCTGAATAATTTTTGATAAGTTTTACTTTTAGTTAGTTTTACTTTTGTTAGTTTTATTTTTTGCCTATTTCACCATATCTCGATAACTTTACATGCAAATTGAAAAAAATTTTGTCCACAATTATGAGATTCGTTTATCATTAATAATTCCATGTAAATGTAACTTTTAGAAAATATTTTTAATTTTTTGTGATTTTATTTAATAATAGTCGAAAATTTTTGATAACTGTAAGGTATACAATTTTTACATCGTTTTAAACAATGTGATTTTAAATAACAAAATGCAAAAATTGAGAGAAATCGGACGAATCCAGAGAAATCAAATTTTAAAAATAAAACTTTTTAAAATTTTTTGTGTCAGACAAAATAGTGTCTGTACTAATTAATTAGCATATTTGAGGTCACCCACTGCGAACCATTAACATTGAGTCCTAGAACGTGAAGATCCGGTCATTAGTTTAAAAGTAATTCGGGGGTGGTTCGTTTTGTATTTTGCGCAATGCACATAATATACTGAACATCTTTTTTTCTTTAAATTTTACAATAGATGATGCTCTGCTTTTCACTGCTTTTCGTAAGAAGTCATGGGGAAGTCGATGAATTCGACAAAGGCACCCATGGAGGTCATGGTGTTAAATCCCATGGTACCTCTGGCGGTGACCATGGAGGAGCTGGATACGGTGGTCAGAAAGGTGGTGCCGTTTCCTCTGGATATGATAGAGGTTTCAGTTATGGAAAAGGACATGATACGGGAAAAACTGTGAAAATAGAGGATGAAAATTATGGTGGTAAAGGATATGGTGATAAGGAATTTAGGAACTTTGACCTAGGTGGATTAGGTTATGGAGGATTAGGAGTAGGAGGTTTCCGAGTTCCTTTCTTTTTTCTTGGATAAATGTCTTGTGAATTCTAAAAATCTTTATTGATTTTATTTCTAATAATGCTATTTTTCATCTGTATTCATGTTTGCTTAGAACAAATGTATACAAGTTGTACAATAAGTAGAGTTTTGATTTTATTAAAGATTTAATTGCTTTGAATTTTATTATAATTGCTGCATTTATATTTTTATATTTATTCTATATGTATATATAATTTTTTTTAGAAAATTTTTATTTGCGTTTATTTGGATGATTAAACATATAAAACATGTAAGTTCCATAAAACATATAAGTTCCATAACAAGAATTTAAATTATTTGTTTTTAACCTTTTTTTTCAATTTTTTTTTGTGATATTAAGAAAACAAGATTCTTTTAACCCTTTGAAGCAAATAGGACACCGATGTCTCCTTTAGACCTCCTTTTTTGACATTATAAATGCAAGCAAAAATATATTTCGGTATTTTTTAATCATAAAAGACAATTTAACAATCACTAAAGAAACTTGTTTATTTATCGGAATTATATTTGAACTAAAATATAAATTTAGAAAAAAATTTATTTAAAAAATTGTATTTTTCATTCATATTTACAAATATATCAAAAATTGATTTAGTAAATAAAAGAAATTTCAATTATATATAATTGTTTCTCTTAGATCTAAATAACTGCAAATAAGTATAAATTTTAAAAAAATTATTGCCTGGTAAAGAGTCTTGTTTAGAGGATTTTACTTTTAACGCGAGAAAGATCCCGGTGCATCATGCTGTATTTCATAACCATAAATTATTAGAATGCTAAATGTAATATTGTCATTTATTTTGACCTAAATTTATGCAAAATAATGGAAAAAGTATGAAAATATCTGTTTGATAAAAATTTTGCCTCAAAAGGTTAATACAGCTTGAGATTTTATTCGAACCATTAACATGAATCAAACTATAAAGAAAGTCTATACACAAATCAGCAGAAAAAATATCTCAAAAATTGCAAGAGTTTTTATAGATAAAAAAAAAATATATTTAACCACATGCTTATGCATAAACTTTACATTGCTGTCCAGAAACTATCTGATGATCTTGTCAGGTATATTTTTCGATGAGATTTTTTGGCAAAATTGTATGAAATCAAACGACGAACGATTAGACTAATAGTTTAGAAGTTAAAAGGGTTTGTTCAAAATAAGTGCAGTTCAAAGGTAGTACATTTTGCTATAAAAGAAAAGAAAGAAAGAAAATCAACTTTTGAAGTATTAACTGTTTTCATTCGTGTTTCGCCTCCTTCGATTAAAAGAGAAAAAATACATATTGAATGAATTGTTTGTGTAGCAATATAAAATGTATAAATAAGTTCAAATACAAAATCGTACTTTTTGTATATAAGACAGTTATACTTATAAACTGTTATCTCAAAATTGGTCTTATTAAATTTTTCGTGAAAAATTTTATCCGAAAATATACCTCACATGTTCGGATAGTTCCTGGATAGCCATGTAAAGTTAAATAAACACTTAATAAACATACTTAAATAAATGTCAAAAGTTGTACTTTTTAACACAATGCTAGTAGAACTTTTAATAAAATTTTTCCCTTGACTTTTGTATAGCCTCATTCTATTGAACATAAAAAAATACATAGAAACGATGCCTCATTTTTTTATGTACGTTTATAGGTATAAGTGCAAATTTGTACTTCTTGTACATAAAACACTTATAACTTCTAAGTTACTAGTGTCTCTGTCTCGATGTTGGTTTCATTCAATTCAGGAAGAAAATATACATTGGAAAATGTGCCTTACTCACTTGTATAGAATAGATAAAATTTCGTCCTTCAATCATCCCTACTTTCCACAAAAAGAGGATAGCACAGGGGAGAGTAGGATGATTTCTAAGTATAATTTATAGTAATATAACAGAGCTTCTTATTAAAAAATATCTTGGGTATTAATTTTTGGAAGAAAAAGGTGAATTTTACTGGGTTGTTTATGGATACTGTAGTAAAGTATGACATCCACATGCACTCTTTCATATGAAGCCAATTCTAAACAAATCACGTACTGCAAATAAAAAAGAAAATGCGATTTTCCAGATTTCAAGTAATCATACTTCGCTTACGAAACTAAGCAAATTTGGGAAGAAAATATGTAATAACTATTTTGCGTGAACTCTTAAAGAAAATGCACACATAGCATGCTGTATCGAGTAATGTTAAGGAAGCAGTATTAGTGACCAAATTTTCGTCTTTAGGATTAAATTAAATTTTTTTTTTTTAAAAGGTTATATAAATATTTTTTATTCTCGAAAAATAGGACAAATATTTTTTACATAGAATATTAATTCCAAGCAAATATGAGTTACAACAAAAAAGATTCTACAAAAAAATTTAGAATAAACTCGTAAACTCCCCACTAGAGAATATCGAACAATGAGATTCAATTTACGGAATTGGAAAAGAAAATTCAAAATAGCAATTTCCTGTAATAACCCAAAAGAAAGAAGTAATATATTGCATTTTATACTTTAGTCAAGAAATATTTTTTAAACAACGGTGTTAGCGCCATTTTTGCTGCGAATTTTGCGTGTTTTAAACGGAAATAATTTATGGCAAACATTTTTACACAAATAGTTAGTTTCAAACGAATTCTGAATTGCAAAAAAATTATAGCAAATTCATGAACTCTAAACTGGAGATCATCACACAATTGAGAGTCAATCTACAGAATTAGAAAAGAAAATGTAAAATAACAATTTACGGTAACAACCAAAAAAGGAAATAATATATTGCATTTTATACTTTAGTCAAGAAATATTTTGTAAATAGCGATATTAGTTTTATTTTTGCTGCTCATTTTACGTGTTTTAAACAGAATAAATATTTTGAAAGAATTTTTGTTTTGTATCCGTGGTGCAAACAACTATCAAAAGAAATCAAATTTCCAGCTAGAGAGGATTTGAGACTTTTTGCATCAAATAATCAGGCGCTATTTACAAAATTCAGCATACTGGAAAAGAAAATGAAGCACAGCAATTTTACGTAATAGCCGTAAAAATTGACAAAAACATAACATTTCACAACTTAAAGAAATTTATTGTATATAATATTACACATTTCATAAGTAAAAGTTCTGTGCTATCTATGCTGCAGATTTCACGTTGTTTCGGACTAAAAAAAATTTTAAAAAATGCTATACAAATATTCTTAACATATATGGCTATTTTCAGAAAATATGACAACTATGAAACGATATAATATAAGAAACAAGTTTCAAACAAAGTATAAAAAATTATAAAAATGCATTAAACAGAGAATATCAAATACTCAGAATAAATCAAGTCTCAAATTTGAAAAGAAAATGTTAAAGATCAATTTCCCGTAATAATCCTGAAATCAATATAACACTTCAAATCTTAGTTCTATTCATATTTTAATATCTTAAAATACATCAGTATATGGTATTTTTATAATTATCTTTTATAAAGATCTCTGATAGAGCAATTTTAATAAATTCGAATATTGTGGGTACATTTTTTTTATTTCAGGAGAATAAGAAATTGTTTTATACAAAGATACAATTTCTAAAATATTAATTTTAGCAATAAAAATGTTATTTCTCCATTCGCTCCTCGCATCTTACGTATAAAAGGTAGAAAATGAATTTTTTATATCAATAAAATGATCTTAATGCTACTTTTCTTCGATTTAATTGTCTTGTTTTTGTTAACTCTGTTTTAATAATGTCCTATGTTTCTTTACTTAAAAGGTAGATGGCGTTACATTAGTTTGTTCAAAATATAAAGGTTTTGTATTAATTTTTCTTATCTCATCGAAATTTAGGGATTGATTTATAAAATTATTTTTAATATAAACATCTTTTTTTGCTCCTTAGCTTGATTGTTATTATTTGTGAGTAATCAGGACATCTAGAGTTAGTTAGCAGTAGTAGTTTTAATAATCTGATTTAAAACATTTTTGGAAGCTTGGAGTTGATTAATAAATTAAAAATTAAATAATTGGGTTTTAACTAATTATAAATTAAAATATGGATTTATTTAATAATTCAAAAAAATATCATAAAAACATAATTAATTTTGAATATTTTAAATATTGGTATTAATTTGCATTCTAAATATTTGAGGAAATAGATTGTGATTTTTTATTGCAAAATTAATAATCACTATAATAACACGTTCATGATATTTATATTCTAAACAAATTAAAGTGTTTCATGATCTGTTTAAAATGTAACCATGCCTATCTCATCAAACATGCATACCTTTATATGAAATTTCTGTAAAGAAATTCTGTAATCGAAACTGTCAAACGATTTCATAATGTTTAGTGTAAGAAAGATAAAAAAAAAATTATGAAATTCAAAATATTCTCAACAGTACTATATTTTTTAACTAAGAAAATTGGAAATGCTAATATGTGATATTTATTCGTAATCATTAATCGAAATCGTTTTCTTTAAGTTAAAACGACAAAAATTGTCCGTAATCTAAATTTTATAAGTTTTAACGAAAGCTTCGGCATTAATAAATGATCTTTCAAATAAAATTCGTTACTAGAGTTATTTCTGCCATCAATGGGTATTATATTAAAACAATGAACAAGGTAAGTAGACGTTTTTAAAATCTAATATATGATTTGAATAAAATTCTCATGAATTCTCATGAGTGTTGGAAAAGTTCTACGCTTTCAATGTTTTAAAGATTTAGAACAAGCGTTTTTTTCTTTTTGTTTGCTTCTTAAAAATATTTAATTGCTGAACTCGAAATCTTTCAGAGAATAATAATATTTTATATGAGTATAGAAAGTTGTTTGGATACTCTTGTTATCTATTTTAATCATTTAATTTAAATACATCTGCCTTAAAATAAGATTTTGTTTTCATGAAATGCCACAATAACGTGGTATTACGGTAAATTTTATCCACCTACAAAGTTTGAAGAATTTCCTTTTGAGAATAAAATGTTCTACACTCTATTTAGTGTTTATCCTTGCATGTGCTTTCTTCACATTTTTTACAACTTAACTTATAATTCCTTTTTAGCTATGATGATTATTGATACATTTATTCAGAAGTTTTGGTATTTAATTATGTGCAATGCATATTTTTTATTTTTCAGTTTTGTTTGTATTTAATATGTATATTCACTATCTAGAGCATGGTAAAAATTGATTTCTCAAAATTGAGCAAAAATGTGCAAAAATAGCTCCGAAACATATAATTGTCGAATTTATAAACCTCATGTATTCAAAATTAAAACAGCGTATACTCTTTTTAGAGCAATATGCATATGGGAGAGAAAGACGTATGTTGGTTGTCAACATTATTCGAACCCAGGGTGGCCGCAGTCGGGAAAAATTTAAAAAGCGGTGACAATTCTTTAACGAGGTTATCATGAATTTTATAGACTTCAATATCACGCCAATTTCATGAATTCAGTTGGTCTTTTGCAATACAAATGTTTAATTTACTGATATTTTTGGTTAATGGTAATTAGTAAAAACATTTTGTTTCCTCGAAGTTTTTCTAAAAAGAATTTTTTTACATAAGATTGCATAGTTACTGTTAGCTTTGTCTATGGGCTAAAATTTAAAAATTATTCTAATATATAATTTCTTCTTTCTTTTCTTTTCATGAATCTTTATTATATTTTATTCCATGTTTTCTCTACATTTTTAATCTATTTTGTGGGTTTTATATACTTGTAGAGCAGTAAATAAAACTTATTATTTTTCTTAATTTTCTTCGTTTTTTTAAAAATCCTATTTTATCCTTTTAGTCTTTATTATGTAACATTTTTGGAGATAATATTTAATGCAGCTTTATCACTTATTAATATCTACTATTAACTCACTATATNTATATATACTTAGATTAGATATATATATATACTTAGATTATATATATATATATATATATATACTTAGTGAGTTATCGAGTTAAATGCTATTTTGAGAAACACGCTTAAAGTTGGCGAGTGCTAATTACATTTATTCATGTATGCATCTAAGTATTTATCTGAGTTCTATCTTATTTAAGGAAAATAAAATAGTTTTTGAAAGTGCAAGTGAAATAATTATTTATTTTAAACAGTAAATAAATTAACAATTCTTTTGAAAATTTCATGGTGATATTCCTCTTAACTACATGGGACGACAAGATATAAATTTTCCTCCTTAATTAAAAAACATTTTTAAATATTGAAATTTCAGTAATATTTTTTCAGAACTTGTGTTAAACACCAAAATGTTAAAGCGACATAAATTTTTGTTTGAGAACGAATTTGAAGTCAAAACCCACTACTTGATTTGGTAAATCTTATTAGCCAATTGGCAATACGTTTAACAGGAAATGATATCACCTACGTGTCATATATTACATAAGTAACAAAATTTTAGCCCAAATGTTTATTAAAGGTGGAATATTTGTTTTCCGTTAAATAAATAAAGTTATTTGTAAAACAGTTTTCGATGAATATTCCTTCAAAGAAAGAACAGAGTTCTAAGAAAAATGATTGTTCATTTTTTTAAGCTTAAACCTTTTTGACTAGTAACTAATTAATGTAATATTGTTCAATTAATCAGCACAATTTGAACGAAATTTTTTATATTTGTCTATTTAAATGTTTATAGCCCTTTCACAGGTTGAGGTATTGATTTTTTATTATAAATTATTATTGGAATGAAATAATTACTTTAAGAAAATATTATCTAGTTTATTGAAATTGAAAAAAAAAAGCTTAACAATTTGAAGCATGCAATGATAAATTTATTCTGTTTTTTAAGTTCATATTATAAGTATGCAATTTTTATCACGGTATATTTTGAGAAGTTAAAGATATTCTTCAGAGTTTGTAATTTGTTGATATTATAATTTACAGAATAACTTATTAAATATTGTTTTGTAAGTTGTTAAGTGCTATACTATTGTTAAAAATCATACTGTTGAAAATGGATTCTTAAAATTCAAGTAATTTTCTTCATTTTCGACTAAACCGTTTCCTGAGAGAACCGTTTCCTCAAATGAGCATTTTGTTAAATTTAGGAAATAGCTACCTTCACTTTTTTGAAGGACACGAATGCAACATATGGAATTTATTAATTAACACAATCGATTTGAAAGTACAATTTTAAATAAAATAAGTTGTTAATGAATGAGTTCTCAGTCTTCTTCAGAATTTGATCCTAGAAAAACTGCTTGACAAGCGAGTGCTCTAACCTTTGTATCATCAATTCATAAAGTACAAATGGTTTAAAAATCAAAAACAAGCGTTGGTGGACTCTCCAAATGTACCGATGTGACACAGAAATGAGAAAATATTTCGAAATAAACTTTTTTTTGTGAAATTGTTTTTTTTAGATAGTTTAAGGAAATTATTGACATTTGCATTTTCACCAATTGTTATGATTTTATAAAAAAAAATTTTTTTTTATTAAAAATGAAAAAGTAATAAAAAACACAAAAATACAAGTTTTAAATAAACAAAACAATTTATTTAAGTCATCAAGTCAACTATTAAGTTCAGCCCATAAGTCCTCCATAACCAATTCCCATCATAGGACCATAGATTCCAGCTCCATATCCAAGACCACCCATAAGTGGCCCACCCATGCCCATCATTCCCATTCCTTGGCCTCCGAACATACCGATACCTCTTCCTCCCATCATTCCAAGACCTCCCATCATTCCGAGACCTCTGCCTCCCATCATTCCAAGACCCCTTCCTCCCATCATTCCGAGACCTCTGCCTCCCATCATTCCGAGACCTCTGCCTCCCATCATTCCGAGGCCACCACCTCCGATCATTCCGAGACCTCTGCCTCCGTACATGCCAGATGTGTATCCTCTGGTTACACCATAGCTTCCTCCTAGGCCACCTCCGGCACCTCCACTAATTCCTCCTAGGCCAACTCCGGCACCTCCACTAATTCCTCCTAGACCACCTCCTATGCCTATCATCTGACCAAAGCATCCAGACAGAACAACGGCAATACAAATCTGAAAAATATGGAAAATAATTTAAATATATTAAAAAATATGCCTGTTAGATGAAAATTATTTAATTAGATCTAGATATGAGATAAATTTTTTGTTGTTGTTTGTAGATGGGAGTGAAAACTACATATTTTTTTTATTAGTATATACATCTTTCTTTAATTCCAGTATTGATATTAGTGCCATTACACTAAAACAATGAATTCGAACAATTATTTCTTTTAAAAAAATAGCAAAATTTCACATTCTATAAGTGCACTTTAAGTAACTAAATAATTCTGGTAAGTTTTGACTAAATAACAATATGCTCTTTACAATTCCATCTAGTAAGAAGTGAATGTTATTTTGTTATGCGACTGTTCTGTCTTTCATTCCATGAAAATACATATACGTATAAAAAAATTTTTGATGTAGTTTTTTGATGACATACTTTGAAATTGTTTTTCTTTGTTTCTTGTTAGTGATCAATTTAAGAAAGATGACATACGAAATTTTATTGCTTTAAAACAGAATAAAATTAATAATTGTGCAGCTATTTGTGTGTATTATATTAAATATTTCAATACTATTTGCTGAGACCAAAGAAATAAACAAAACAAAACAAAATGAAATGAATAAATAAAATAATCGAAGCTCTGCATAGGCTTTGGATTTTAGCAAAACCTTACATCACCGAGTACCTTATCTACAACTAAACACATTCCTATATTTTGTGCAAGTCATGCTGCCAATATAATGCTCAACAGTAGACTTTTTTTAAATTCTAAATATAAATCATTTCCATTTCGGTCCATATGATCTCCGATTTTTAGCCCATGAAATTCTTTTTGGATTTTGATGTGACTTCAGAACAGGGGCCGTTTACAGTGAGTCATTATTTCTGATTTTAGTATTCCCTTATAAATTGTATACTAGAGAATCTTATGTATACCTCAATGAACCATTCAATAGAGTCCCGATGACATTTATAGTGTCATGAACAGTCATTTGGATACTTGTCAGACGTCGAATCAAACGAGTATAGCGTTTATTCATTATACGCGATCTAGATATGTGTTTGCTTCATATTTGTAACCATTTCATAAACCTTAATAAATAAAGACCTTTTATCTCTTAAAAATAGCGGAATTTTTCGAAACATATTTAACAACTGTTTGTAGCTGGCAAATTTTTGTAATTACACCTCTTTAAATAGTTTTAGTGGTAGTATCAGTTGCTAAGGGTTACCATTTGCGGATCGTAAGTACTTGACGTTTGTGATGCATATGAAAAGAAATATTAACAGAAACTCTTAATCATGTCTAAACTTTTGTAACAATCAAATTTCTCTTTTTATCTGTAACACTAGTGTTATAACAAATCACACAATTTTATTTATATTATGACATTTTAGAGAGGGTTTTTTGAACATGTTTACATGTTTTTTTTTTTTAAAATCTGTTTATTATAATTCGATATTGTAAATTCCATAATTTCATTGTGTAAACTTTTACATTGAGCTCTACCATATTCATATAAAAATTGCGAGAATTTCTTTTCGTATCGTACATATTATGACAATGTAAACCTTCTTTATTTTCTTTGAAGAGACTAAATAGCAATAATATATAAAAAACATCAACTTTACAATTGCTAATACTTTTCTAAGGTAAGTATTATTATTATTATTATTTTTGTTGCTTTTTTCAATACTAGAAAAATGTTGGAAAAAGATTTCGCATTGATTCTAAGTGGGAAATGAATGTACGAAAATATTTTTTCAAAGTTACAGAGGTTGCAATCAGGATTAGCTGCTAAAGTTTTGTCTTCATATAGTCACAAGTGTAGATTACTTTGTTTCATGTTAGTTCCAGGTTAATGCTTACTAATAGCTCTAAATTGGAGATAAGAATAAAAAGTTTGAAAGTTTTGAATTATGCTGGTGTTCATAAACAAATAGTTGATCTAAAATACCGAAGATAACATAAATTTTATGTATATTAATAAAACTGGAAGCACTTATAAAGCATATTTGAATATGAGAAAACACTCCTCTTAGCTTTAGTGCGCATATAATGATGAAAAATAGTTTAAATTAATCAGATTTTAATTATCCTTAAAATTAAGTTCATATTCAAATTAAATATGATTACAGGAATTTGAAATGGTGCAGTACTTACGACTGTTCGTAGGTGGAACATTTTTCTTGACGGTACTTTAAGGCAATCTGAGTTTGCAATACTTTCCACTCTTTAAATCAGCTTTATATATACAAGTTGATAAAAATAATGTCTTTGCGTCTGAATAAAATAATAATATAACTTAAATAAAGGGAAAGACTCAAATAAGAATAGCGCAATGGCAGTTGTGTCATTTAATTGAAAATGTTCCACGGAGCGGTCAGTTACATTTATTCAAAGTGTCATTGAGGGTGCTTTGATTTTTTATGCCTCTAGTTTACGCTCTATGAAGCTGAAGGCGCTAATTGAAAGTTATTTCTATGAAAACTGTTTCCGGGCAATTTTACTATACTTATTGTATACAGCTACCAAATTAAATACCTTTTTTCATGTCATCTGTAAGAATCAAAAATAAAGTGAATTATAAGAATAGAGTAATTTCGTAATAGCTAATTTTTTTGCATTTTCGTCATTTTTTTTTCAAGCTTCGAGACAGACTTTTGATAGTAGGACATTTTTTGAAATTTTTAAAAATATACTAAAAGGGTATTTACGAATGACGTCACGCTTGGAAAGCGGGGTTCTTGGGGTTGTGATTGTTAGTGACAAGGAGGAGGAACAAGAAGTTAGAGATCATACGTATCGGCTAGAATAAGTTACTTAAAATCAGTAAATAAATTTTTTAAAAATAATATTTCGTTTTATGTTATCTAGCTTTGCATTTTTATCATGATTTTTTTAAAACATAAAAAGGGGTTTTCTTCTGATAGTTTTGTTTTGCATTCTTGTTGATTTCATTAAGTTCTATTTTAAATTGAATTCTACTTTAAATTAAGTTCTATTTAGAATGATAAATTTAATAGACCCATGTACTCGATGACCAAGTATATATCCTCTTCTTAGGCGGATAAGTCGCAGTGAAGAATTTAGAGTACTTTATATTTTATGACTGTGAAATGCAACTATAAATTAAATTGACAAAGGAAATTACTAAAAATCTTTCTTTTAAATGATCACGTAATGCTTTTTTTAGACCTGATACTTTGACACTTTGTGACAAAAGGGGGAGTAGGTCAAAATATTGAAAAAGTGTAATATCATCAATGTATACCCCCTTAACAGATTGTTTCATAACTTGTTGATTGTGTTAAAAACAAATTTATTCACTTACACTTTAGAGGTCTTGTTACCATTAAAATTTGAGGACAGAAAAATTTAGTGACTAAAAATATGATTTTAGCATATATGATATAATGTATATTTTATGTTAGTATAGCAACCTATATTCACGATATAATGTGCATTTTATGTTAGTATAGCAACCTATACTCACGGAAACTTCCATCGCAAATTATTTTGTTCGCTTTAAAACATAGCAGTTCTTGCATATTTAATTTTTATAATTGAACCTTTCTTAATATGAATAATTTTTTATTAAATAATATTGCTTTCATAATGTGTTAGTTCTGAAATAACTTGATTTTATTTATGAAGTTAGATTATTTAATATTATTTGACGGGCAATTTATGATTTTTTATAGTATTTTTCGCTGCGGGATGCATTATAAAAATGACATTAAATGTTTTAAAAATGTTAATATAAGCCTGGAAATAGTTATGAAGCCTTAGAAAAAATTTATTTTGGTCCTAAGAATACAAAATAAAAAACATAGGAGACTATATATAATTTTTATATAGCCTATATGTTTTTATACAGGAAGCAAGATAAGAGATTTGCACACACCAGACTTTGGAGAAGAGTCTGGTGTGTACAAATCTCTTATGCACTTCAGAAAGTCCTGGAACGAATCGGTTACCGTCTAATCCTGCACTGACGTCTCCACATAAATTCAGCAAAATAAGAATCGGAAGATTTCTTCGGATATTGACGAAAATCTTGCTTGGAAAATTTTCATATGGCATTCTATGAATCCACATGCCCTAAAATTTAGGTCATATATTCTATTGTTCGAAGTACCAGTTTCGGGATCAATAAAATTCAAAGAATGATTGAAAGATAAATGCAGAAAATCTTCATTTTTTAGACAATCTGCGATAATTGTCCCAGGCGATATTTTCCAGGTAACAACTTCTCTCTCGTGAGATTACTAAATACTTTTTAAAATATTTTACATTTAGCATTAACATATACCTAACTCAAACACATCTCTCTTTCGTTACCACCAAACACTAATTTACTATTCACTCGTATACCAAGATTATATTTTTTCTTACCGAACTTGCTTTTATCAATTTCAAAAACCATTCCAGGACCTTCTATAATTTCACTATTTTTTTCCACCTGTATCAGTACACACTTCTTAACTGAAATTACACCAATCTACCACAGTTTTTCTAAATTTCATATTTACCTCATTCATAAGAAGATTTGTACCAGCTTCAAACACCCACAAAAACGAAAACATATTCATCAATCATATTCATTTTACCATCTACAAACACACATACTGTTCCTCAGAGACCGTTTGCAACGATGAGTATTTTTACCTTCCTCACGATAAACTCATTTGTAGCCATTCGTTCCTTCTTTTGATTTATCCAAACGCATATCTTTCACATAAGCAAGATAAAAATAATGAGAATTAATCAAACCTTCTCGCATAAACCAGTCATTAATAGATTTCTTACCCTTTCTCTCCTGTAAAAAAATACATATTTACTTTTTCAGACATTCTTTGTAGAGATAGCAGACGAAGGTAGTTATAGCGACAATGACATGTGAGCAACTACTGGTAAAAGAATAACTTAGGTAAAATTTGAAATGCAAATAATGTATATGAAAACAAACCAAACAACAAACATAAAACAATAAGGAAAATTGCGGTAGCCCGTTCAATAACAAAACAAATAATATCATGGTAATCAGGAACGGGGTTACAGTAAAACTGTACAATCGCCAAACCAAGGGACCCCCTATTCTACACCAGAACACTCTGTTTTAATGAGGAATATTCTGCAACTGAAAAAGAAACTGATAAAGGAAATGATACATTTACGATTGGACATTCATTGGAATACATTATGCAAATTACAGGATAATAATTTAGAAAACAATTGAGATTATGAAAATATGCTTATCAAAAAAAAAATTACAAAAACTAGTGAATTGTGTTTCTTCCCAGGATCTCCATCATTTGCATACGTATTCTCATTTATTTACTTATATATATGTTTTAAATCTTGAAAGCTAATTTTAATTACCAAAAATGACATGCTGAGGCCAACAATTGGAGGTTAGGTAGCAGAATGGACATTTCTAGCTAAGAATTCAGAATAGCAAAACCGATATAACTTTTTTGTTTCATTGAGAATGCTTAATTTGACAAAGAGTTCAAACTTTTGGAAGCCACTTCCACACCGCTAAACAACATACGAACCTTATGTTTAACGGTGTTTTAATGCAGATGTCTAAGCTAACGTCACTTCCCTTACCTGTCCACTGAAAATCTATCAATGATCAATCAGTTACACATGCAACCAGCATGAATACGTTTTCTTATGATAGGAATACGAATCATCTAATAGGTGCAAACAGAAATTGGTTGAAAGATAGTGGAACATTGATCTAGTTTAGCCTCTGACTTAAACACCCATATTGTGTTTCTAACATTCATTGCAAAAGTTGTAATTTGAGGTAAAAATATTCGTAAGGAGTCTATCCCAATAAAACTTAGATTAAACTTTTTCCATTTTTTAAGTTTATATTATGTATTATGAATTCATTCAGAAAGTTCTTCACAGAATCCTGCCTGTTAACTTTTATCTATTTAACTTATTTTTTTATTTGAAAAAGATTCGAAAATATGGGGCGTTCCAAAAGAAAGCATGTTCTGAAAATTTCCTATACAAAATTAATACAACTGAAAGAAATGCTTAGATGCAAAAGATGCTACTAAATATGCGAGGTATGTGTTCTGAACTATATTGAAATAATAAAATTTCTCGAATAAAATACAGAATTTAAAATCAGTATTATTAATATAATGCTGTCGTTTACTTTCTTTTTTCACAAGTTTCGTCTTTTGACGATATTAATGCCAACCAATAAAATTTTAGTTACACCAAAGCATAATCAATTCTATAAAATACAAATATACTTTGACTTTTTGTAAGTCACTGCACTTTTGTACTTTAGTCGTGGAGAAATGCCAACGGGATATAATATAGCCTTTTGGTTAAAAAAGTGCTTTGCGCTTATTGAATGAAACAAAAGCAATACTAATTAGACTAATAAAAAATCTGTATGATTAATGATTTAGAATGATTCTATTTTTACAGTAGATATATTTAGTAGTTCACGTTCCATGACGGAAATGTGTATTTTTCTGAGACAATTGAGAGAAAAAATAATTTCTTTGTTTATTAATTATTTCTGTTTCAGTTTATTTTTTGCTATTATTTAAACTAAACTCAGTGGCGCAACAGCCCATAGAGGGCCAAGGTCTTTAGTGCCCATCTCAGTTTTCTTGACCTTGGGCTCTGGTGTGCAGGAGCAGATGTTCCGGTCAGGTGGTCAGCCGAACGCGGAACCCCCAGTGTTTAGTTCCCAAGCATACTTGGTACTCATTTATCGACCCACTGAAGGGATGAAAGGCTGAATCAACCTTGCCCGGCCCCAGGATCGAACCAGGGACCTGTGGCACGACAGCGCGAAGCGCTACCGCTCAGCCATCAGGCTTCTTTGCTATTATTTATATTGCGAAATATTTGGACACATTTCAAACAGGTCTAACTTGATAGTAAATGATGTAAGCTTAGTCCTCAAGCTGAATATTATAAGATTACGAAGCAATCTTTGATGGTTGGCGAGCGGTAGCGAGTAAGGAATGCATTAGTTCATAGATCTAAAAAAATAGATTTTTCCGTAACACGCAAAATTGTAAAACAATGTAGATATTAAAATCCTTATATATAAGTTACGCTTTGATTGTTCTAGATAACTCCATACAACTGTTCATTTTATCGGGCTAAAACACGAAATTCAACTTTCGCATTGTTTTGCCAACTAATTTTATTTATAAAGTCTGAAATTAAAATATACTTTTACAAAAACATTTTAAAAAAACCACCAACATTAAAAACTTAAAACTACTATACATTAAAAAAAAGTTATTCTAGTTGCTTTCTATTAATAATAAAAAAATACTCAAAAATTTAGTGTTTTTTAAAAAGTTTATTATTAAAAGTTAGTTTATTTTTTAAAAGTTCTGTGGTTTCTAGTCAAAAAGTGATGTTAATCAAGTTTTAATACCTTTTCCAAATTAATTTTCTAGGAAAAGAATTTTTGAAAATTTAAGCTGCCAAGATTAAGTGAATTAGGAGAATCTTTCTGTTTAACTTTCTTAACTTTTGTAGTGCCTGTTGAGTGACGAAAAAAAAAGTCTTTTTTCGCTGACAAAAAATGAATGCCTTGCTTGAATTTCAACTTTAAATTAAGTTAATTGCTTCTACTTAATTATTCTTTTAGCTACATTTTTCTGAAATCTCACTTATATGCGTAACTACACTTAATCCAGATCACTTACGAACTTTAGCAATCACCTATTATTTTTTATTATTAAGATTTGAGCTGCGATATCTCAGAGAGCAAGAAAGTTCATCTCCAAATGAGATGAGCGAGGCTCGAATCTCGGCAATGGCTGGTCGATTCAAATTCTGCACCCGGCTCGCACCGACTACAGTACTGATATAAAACATTTCCAGGATTTTTCCTTTCCAATGCAACACAAATGCAGGTCAATTTTATTGAGAAGTTCTTTACAAAGGCAAGTTTGTCCAATGCTGTATCTAGAAGTTCCCTGTTAAGGGGACACGGGACCTTGAAATCATAAAATTTTCAAAAAAAATTTTTTTTGTTAAAAATTTAAAGATAGTCAACCTGAATCACGTGTTGTTCAAATTTTTTCGATACGATGATTTTTTATGATTTTATAGCTATTTTTCTGAAAAGTGGGCGTGGCACTTTTGACGTTCCATAAGCTGTCTGTTTGTTTACATTGTAGTTATCAAGCTTATTTTGATTTTTTTTTATGTTCAAATCAATATTTCTATAAAATATTTTTTAATTAGTATAATGTGACACTGTTTGGCAACGCCAAATTAACTTTAACCGTACTTTTGTTTAACCGTACAATTGTGGGCACTTTGAATTCAAATGTATGAAATTTTCTAGCATGTTATCGAAATTCTGCAATATGCTTTTCCTATGTCAATGTCAATAATTTTTTTATTTATCTGGTATCAAATATATTATTTGTTTTATTAAAATTATAGAGAATAATGTTTTTAGTGTAATTTTTATGCACACAAAAATAATCTTTTTTCTTTGTTTCAAGGTTACATATGACATATTGATATGATGCATAACGAACAATATTTTTATGTAAAAATCGTTTGTATTGGTAAAAATTTAGCATTTATTATATTAAGAATACATCGGAAGTTCTTTTTATATTTTAAGCATGATATTATAGCTATTACAGTGAGTTTTAGTTAATTTACACAAAAAAAGTAGTTTTTCTCCGTTAACTTTTTTTGCATAATTTACTTCTATAATTTGTCCCTTGTGTCTGAATAATTGAAAATTTTGCCTGAAAATTTTTCATATGCTTCATATGACTGTTATAAAGACAATGTAGCATTGTTTTCACGAAATATTAATTATAAAGTTTTTTATACAACTTTAACTGTAGGAGGAAATGAAAATTTTCGAAAAAAAAGCGTCGGAACTAAAAAAATTTTTTTTTCTCAAAACCTTTTGAAGTGAAACAATAACTGATGCTAGAGAGTCTTTATATCATCATTATCTATCTATAGAAAAAATTTTAAATTATTTGGATGAAATTTCAGACACAAGGGACAATTTTTGTATTTTTTAAAATTTTCATATTTTATTAAATTTTTAAAAAAATTTTGACCAAAATTGTTTTTACTTGGCCTATTTCCTAAAATATGCTAAAAAATAAATAAATTATGTTCATAATAGTAAAATTAAATTAAAAAACAAGTTTTCATTTGAAAGGTCCCGTGTCCCCTTAACCGTTAAATAAAAAAAAATGCTATCAGCATTTAAACTAGTTAATAACTAAAATTTACATTTTATATTAAAACCCATTTAGAGTTTGAAAATTCAGTGTAATTTTTTGCATGCTACTTGTTTCTAAATGTTTATTAAATGCAAATTTATATTGATTATTATTTTACACAAATAAATCACCAACGATAAAAATAAAACATTTTATTTGTTTGATCACAAAAAATTTACAAACGCAACTTGTGTGAAATTACATATGAACAGCGACAACACCTTTAACTTCAGCTGCGACAGAAGAAAGGCTGTTTCATAGGAAAATTGACCATAATTAACTGTCTTTCAATACCTGAAAATAAAATCATAATTAATAAAAAGGAACCACCACTTTGCGATTACATAAAAAAATGACAAAAGGATCAAAAATTAATTTATGATTTAGTTATAATTTTTGTGTTTCAAAATCACGAATTCTATCTCTCATTATGAATAATAAAATTAGATTTATGTTAAAATATGGAAATTTAAATATTATTACTTTGTAATAAAAACTTCTCACTTTATTAAAAAGTCGTTAAAGCCGCTGATGCCGCCGACTCTTTTTTGGCTGTTCAACTTAACGTTACATTTTAGTTTTCTACCCAAAAATTATACGACATAGAAACTTTAAGTTATAAATACGGGGAGAAAAAATGTGCAGGTATTATGATCGAACAAAACGTGTAACATTTCATTATTAGTTCAAGAATTATTAAATGTTAAACTTGCAGAGCAAAATAGCATATATGCCCCTCTAAAAGTCGTTGGAATTCAACTACGGAGACTTGTTTGTTTATAAACTTAACACGGAGTATTTGTTTTCGAAATTTTAATTTGTTAGAAAGTTAATTTCAATTTTAAGTGCTTATTTGTGATTTGTAATTTTTTTTTGTTTTACGTTTCATTTTGCTTTGCTGCTCAAAATCTCTATCAAATTTGAACTTGATGAAACCAAAATCTAATCTGAACTTAAGAATTATGAAAGTGTGTAGAAAAATGTAAAACTCGTATAAGGAGTTCGATGGAATGAAAAAAATTCTGATTTCTATCATTAGTTACAGAATTAATAACTGTTAAACTTGTAGGTAAAAAAAACCCATGTTGGCCAATTTGCCGACCACTGAAATACAACTACAGAGAGGGAGAGAAAGAGAGAGTTAAATTTTTAAAAATACAAAGAACAAAGAGAATTAAAAACTGTTGCGAATCGTTATATGATGTAAGGTTATCATTATATTTCTTACCTTTGATAACTCCCTTTTAAATGATTTCTCATTTATTACTTTTTTAAATACAGTTGATTATTTATCAAATCCCTAGATCCTTCCATTTCGTTAAACTTGACATAAAATTATAATTATTACATACTTCATGCGAATGAGGAATGAGAACAACGGAGGTTATTGAGCGAAGTGAACATCATAGTTCTTTAGAGAAAGCATATTCCTTAAATCATTTTAAAATAATTATGGAAAATAAAATATGTTTTTCTATTATTATGTTTTAAATAAACAAATAATACTGATTTGAGAAACAATAAAAACTTATTAAAAGTCTTTTTTGTAAAATTTATTTTAGAGTGTATTTATTTTTTTTTGGTTTTAATTTTATCTGTGTTTCGAAATTTTTTTCTAGGCACAGAGTTCCGTTATGGCTACCTCTAATTCAAGTATTTTTTGAGTCTTCAAAAAAGAAAAAAAAAAAAAAAAAAGAAGTAAAAAAGAGTTACACTAACAATCGCAAAAATCTGTCAAATCACTAGGAAGGACGGAGAGAGGAAAAATATAAAACCAGTTGGATTTGTTGATGAAACTGAGAGGTGTTTCCAATAATTTTCCTTCATTAAAGATTAAAACAGGTTATGAGTTTTTCAGTCTCGTCTTCTCTAGTAGTGAATCTAGCGTTTTTGTTTTTTCAAGCTTTAATATTAATTTATTGAACCTAGCGTACATAATTTTTTACTTTATGTTTTATAAGGGTACTAAAATTATATACTAAGAGTGATTATTACAGGGCACCCTATTTAGCATTGATATAACAATAATGTTTATTCAATTATACGCAAAAGTCTCTAAAGAAAGGGTAAATTTTTGGAAATTATAATTAAATTTATGAATTATGTCTGTTAAAATGAGAAATTCGAAAGATCAGATTTCTCTCCCAAAGATTTACATATTTCCTCCAGCAAAAACCAAATTTTGACAAAGTTATTATTTTTTATGCATAGGTTGTAATACATATAAATAGGAGTCCCGAGAATAAAATAAAAGATTTTTATAGATTCTAAATAAATAAAAAAGATTAAAGTAATGAAATAAAAATTTGTAAATGAAATTAAAAGTTGTTATTGATTTTAAAATCTAAAATTTATAAGATAAAGTGTTAGCTATTCAAGCTATATAGTTTCTATTTACGTGAAAAACTTGCTAAATTAAGTATAAGGGAAAACAAATGTCACAGAATGGTTAAGGTGACAAATTGATTAAACTACATGTAACAAAGATATTGATTGACATATCATATTTGCTTAATATACAACAGCCGAACAATATAGCGTTAATTTAAATTTTTAGTTTAGAATTAATACAAATTTTTTTTTTTACATTGTTAAGTTCATGTTTATTTGCTTATTGCATTGTTCCTAATTTTGCTTAAATGAAAAATTAAAAAAGTAATTGTCATAACTTACACATGTTTGTAATAACTTTGCAATATCCTATTAAAAATTTAAAAACTTTATAGTACGTATTTTCCCCTGTATATTGCCTTTCTTATACTTAACTGGATAAGCAATAAAGTTACTTGAATGAAATTAAGCACTTACTTCAGATACAACCTTTAAACAGATTTCCTCAGTGAACCAATTTTCCATAGCTTCCGTAACCACTTAATCCGTGTCCTCCATATCCTTCAAAGCCTCCGTACCCTTTTCCTCCATATCCACCAATTCCATAACCGCCATGCCCTAAACCTCCTTGTCCTAAACCTCCATATCCACCAAGACCTTTTCCTCCATAACCACCCAAACCTTTTCCATAACCGCCAAGTCCATAGCCTGAACCATATCCACCCACTCCTTTTCCATAACCTCCATATCCTCCAAGTCCTTTCCCATAGGAGGAGTATCCGTAGTTGTAACCATGTCCTGAAGTATAACCCCCGTAACCACCTAATCCTTTACCATAACCACCATAGCCGCCAAGTCCAGAATCTCCTTTGTAACCCCCTAATCCGTATCCTCCATAACCTCCTCCTAAGCCTTTTCCATATCCACCATATCCTCCATAACCTCCTCCTAAGCCTTTTCCGTATCCACCATATCCTCCAAGTCCATGGCCACCACCGTATCCTCCGAGTCCGTAACCACCATATCCACCAAGACCATGACTGCCATATCCACCGTATCCTTTACTTCCTGAACCATATCCATAGCCTACTGATCCTTGACCACCGTACGCTCCTAAACCTCCAGCATTTGCTGCTACAACTGAGCACAAGAGAAGAGCAATCTGAAAAAGGAAATAATTAAATTAATCTCTAACTCATATTTTTTTATATTAATTAATTTATTATTTAGATAAAGATTTAAAAAATATAAGAAGTATTAATATTTATAAAAAATAAACAATTTTGAATTTTTGTTATTTTTATTTTAACTTTTTAAGTAGAATCCTTTAAGTTTTTCGTGTCCTCAAATCAAATACATTATTTAAGTATACTCGCTAATAGAAACAATTCAATCAGGCGAAATAAATAATTCTTTTTCATTTCCTTTTATGCGTAATAACAGCATTAATTTTTCTAAACAATTCAAAATTAAAAAAATTTAAAAGCTTTCATCAACTGAATATGATTAAGTTACAACAGTAACAAAATCTCCACTATTTAATAAAACATCATTAACTTCCATTTGTGAAGCTTCCTGAAGGGCCTAAGAACTTTTTTTTCGCAAAGGGAATGCTTCATTCTTTTTAGCTTCAAAAATCTATTACATAAATCAAATATATGCATGCGTAACTTTTTTAATCTAATTCACGTTATAAAAGATAATTTTCACAAAGGAAATTATCGATTACGTGAATAATTATAGTTTTGATCAGAGCATTGCATCTAAAAATATTCAGATTACAAGTATAATTAAATCATATTTATTCAACAATAATATGCCAATACGTTCTTATCATTTATTACTTTTGTATTACATAACTGAATTCAACAAAATTTAATAAAATATCTATATATTTTGGAAAGAGTAAAATATACATTATATATAATCAAAATATAGATTTTTTGAAGACACATTCTTGCATGGATTAATCATAAGCTGTGGATGTTGAAATTATTGTTCCGATTAGTTTGAATTTTTTTAAGTAAATTATAGAAAACTATGACAAATTCAAATAAAAGGAAACAGATTAAATTTTTTGAAATATTTCAAAAGAATTTTCAAATGAAAATATTTTGTTTACTCAACATTTTTCAAAAGCATTTTCTTTAAATACATTATATTTATTTAGAATTTATAAAATGTACAATCAATGTTTTCAACTAAACATTTAAAAAGCACTGAATTGAAAGCGTTACATCAATTGAATTAATGAGTCACAATCAATTGAAAAAAAGTGTATTTAAAAGTGCTTTTAAAAATAAAAGAAGGAAAACAAAATATTAGAAAAAGAGGTCGCAAAGATATTGTTTATGTGCGTTTTGAAGAAATAAAAAATATTAGTCAATTTAAAAAATAGTTTGTTTCAAAACTTAAAGTTGCGAAAAAAATATTAAAATTTAATATCAAAATAATATTAAAGTCAAATATTAAAATTCAATATTAAAATAACATTAAAATCAAATATTAAAATTTAATATTAAAATAATATTCAAGTCAAATATTAGAAGTTAATATTAAAATCAAGTATCAAAATTTAATATTTGATTCAATATTTGATTTAATATTGATTTAATATTTGGCGCATAAAATAAAAATCAGATGTAGCTTTTGACCTAAATATTAGTATTTTATGTATTAAGATACAATCTCACTTATTCGAGGTATATGTTTTTAATCAATTTGGATTAATTATATAAATTAATAACAATTAATTTAATAACAAGTGATTGCTATTATTCATAATTCTATGATTAATAATGAAAAATAAAATGCTTTAATTAATTATCCCAATGCTTTAACTAATTATCAGATGTAACTTTTGATCTAAATATCAGTATTTTATGTATTAAGATACAATCTTAATTATTCGTGGTATATACGTTTAATCAATTTGGATTAATTATATAAATTAATAACAATTAATTTAATAACAAGTGATTGCTATAATTCAAAATTCTATGACTAATAATGAAAAATCAAATGCTTTAATTAATTATCCCAATTTATAATGCTTAATTAATTTTATCAATTAATAATAATTATTTATTCAAATTTATGATGTTTTAACTAATTACGCAAATTTATTAAAGCAATATGAAAGAATTGAAACGTTTTTCCACACGATTAAAAAACTCGTTTACTTAAAATATATTCCATGCGAAGTAATAAGTCGTTTATCATACAAAGCATAGCTTTTTATGATTACTTTGTGTTTTTGTATTATTTATTTTAATAATATTCAAAACTGTTTTGAATTGTTAGAATTGAAACTATTATTTTCTTTTTAAATCAATTTCAAATTAAAAAAAAATATACGAAAAATACGATAAAGCTTTAACGAAATCGGTCAAATAGTTTCAACGTAAATTTTTTTTTTTTAAAGTTGTGCTTTTAAATTTTAATTTCTAGAGAGCTTTTCTATAGATTCCGTTTGAATTTTGAATTTGATCTTTTAGAATTATAGAATTTAAAATGACGTGAACATTCGTATATCTTACAATTTACTTTTCTATTGCGTTCTATCTATATATGATCTTATCTATATATGATCTTATCTATAATGAAAATCATATAATACCGGATTGATAATACCGGTTGATTTATTACTCAAAACATTAATAATTGTCTAAGATATTTTTAAGTAAATTTTGAAAATATGTTTGAAATAAATGCATTGAAATTTAATTTCAATACTTGAAATAAAATAACTAAAATGAATTCATTACCACTAAACTTTTATCTACCAAAAAAAGAAAAAAAGAAAAAAAAAGAAGAATATTTTAAGGTCGAAGTTAATGGAAACTTTGAAAAAAATAATAATTGTACTAAATACTATCATAATTCTTAAGTTATATTAACTACGTAGTTCTGAATAAATGTTTACTATATGATATCAGTGAGCGGAGAAAAGAATTCTAGTAAAATTACCGAGCTGTTGATGATATTTCTGGAAAACAAAACACAAAATCTTATAATAAAAACCGAAATAAACGGTATTTAAATCATTCATTTGGTAACGGTTTACTGGCAATTCACGTTTTCACAATTATAGCTTTTATAACCACATATTTTGTAAAAAAATGGGTGCAAAATTGAAGAATGAATTTAACCGAATAAATGGTTTTTGTGCCGTGGTCTAAGGTTTAGATATCATGATAAACTTACTAACCTTTATCACACATACTAAATTTTATCAAACATTAATAAACCATATTTTATTGTTAATTTTATCATATATTAATTTACCAGTGCCAAATTATTATAGATGGGCTTTTTGGTGTTCCCATATAGCCAGAAACACGAAAAAATTTACCATATTCTGGTAATTTCTATCACATATTTTTCTCAGTGTGCTAATACTATTAAAGCTATACATTTATTTAAAACTAACATTTAATTTAAATTTTTGAAAGAAAAAAATGTTTTTGCGATCATATAATGTTTAAATCAAATATTTTGTTTTTTCAAAATTTCTGATTTTAATGTATCTGAATATTTTGTTAATAAATTCATTTAGCCACAGCTTAAAAATCCTTAAATGATTGCACTCTTTTGATTTTTTTCCAAGATATTTCGTAATGATACATTTAAAAAGTAGTTTAAATTTTTAATTTGTTTTTTGATTTTTACTGTAAATGAAAATGTTATACTTTGAAATTATTTTGAGTTAAAATGTTCATACCTGAAATTGTTTTTAAAATTTTTAATACAAGTTAAATATTGTACAGACTTAATATCAATTTTTAATATTTTTAATGTATAGTTTAAAATTGATCTATATGTTCATTTCTTGTATAAATGAAAGATAAATAAAAAGACTAAAAAAAATATCCATCTTTTTAGAGTTATTTTTTATTGTTTCTAAATCATATCGTTCTTAAAATGAAAAAAAAAAGAAAAGAATGATCATGGAGAAAAACGCATTTTAAATTTCAGTATCATTTTTTAAACTGGTGAAAAGAACTAAGTCATATATTAGTTTAAATATGTACACAATTTTTACAACTCCTGGAAAAAAGACTCCTCATTAGACTATTATATTTAATGATAAAAAATAATTTCAGAGTTTCGTCAATTTCCGTGACCTGTATAGAAATAATATTGCAAGGTTATATCTATAACCCAGAAAATGACAATTATTCATATAATATTTATTTTGTATAATATATTATAACATTGTTATACAAAATGATAAGTACATATTCTTTTATCTCCAAGATTATGAATGAATATTTACGAATATTGATTAATGAATGTATATTTCACTTATTGTGTCATTATATTTCATCTGAAAATACAAAAACCTTATTTTAATAACAATTTCAACTTTCAAATTTTTATTACAAAATTCAAATTATGCGAATTGCATATAAATTGCTAATACGAAAATTAAACACATTGCAGTCGATTTGGTTTAATGTATATTCAATACAGTAAATAAAGAATAAATAAATAAACAAGATAATAAATTAATAGTAATAAGATAGTAAATAATGAATGTTCAAGAGATATCTTTGCAGAAAACTATTTAACAATGCTTTTATTCTCTAACACATTATTTCTCTCAATGCTTGCATATTTGGTATTTGCAAAGTGATTAGTATTTTAGTTTCCTAGCATTATTTTTATAATAAATACTAACAACAGAATAATATTTTATTACCAAGATTGGTTTTAGTATTCCAATTGAGTTAGTTTTATTAAAATTATAAGCTATTGATAAAATTTTCGAGTGATTTATTTTTTAATAAAACTGATGCGAGTATAATTTGTTTCGTAATAAATATTCAAGTTTATTAACTTAAAGTTTTTATTTTTATTTTATGCGTTATGGATTTTTATATGTTCACGTGTTAATCTTTTTTGCTCTCATTTTAAAGAGAAGGGACTTGGGCCGTTTTCATCTGCATGTAATGCAATGATTCAAATATGGGTTAGTTTGCGCTAATACTCGATACAATATTTCCTTTTACCTTTGGAAAAAAAGCTTAGGAGTTTGCATAGAGCTCAGTTAGAAGGATCGGAGATAAATCTATTGCTTGCTTTTTATTGTTCGCTTTTTCATTGGCAATTGGAAGAATTCATTAGCTGTTTTAAGATAAAAATTTTAATATCTCAGAATTCTTAATGATAAATTTTAAAAGTTCATAAAATTTTTCATTTCGAAGTTAATTACTTGAAATTATTTAAACTTTTTTAATAAGAAAAAATAATTTCATAAAAAAAAATTTAATAAGGAATAATTTAATTTTAAGTTTCAGCGAATTTAAGTTTCAAAAATTTTTTTAAAGATTAAATTTTTATTCATAAGAAGAAGATTCATAATATTTTTTAAATGATACCATAAAAATTGAATATCGCTATGGAAAAATTTTACTTTTAATGTGGTTTTAAATTTAAGTTATTTTACTGTCATAGTTAAATTTCTTAATTGGTTTACAGTTAAAACAAAATTTCATAATTATTTTACAGTTAAAATAAAATTTTATATTTAATGTTTTATAATTTTTAAATTTTTTTTTACATGAATGATCAAGAGCAAAAAATAAGTACTCACAGCAAAGTGGTTCATTGCAGTTAACTTTGTTATAGTACGTTAGTTATGATAATTCTCTGTTATAAAATGTCAACATTTCAAAAATTTCGAGCTTTTATATAAGATGGACCCGTAAGTAAAACTAGGTTGCATCCCAGCGTATGAAAGTAAAAGGCCCCGCCTCCATTGAAAAACTTTCTTCGCGACCTTTAGCGTCAAGTTTTTCTTTTGTCACGTGACATTCCAAAGTGAACTAGTCCAAGCACAATATATACGTGATGTTTCAGAAAGGGAAAATACCACCTTGAGAGAAAAAAAAATTAATTTATAACGGAAGACAACGCGTTATGGATTAGTTAACATCCATATCGTTTGCCAAATCGAAATCGAACGCAACAAGAATAGAAAAATATCGTTTGCGTGAGACTAACCAAGAATTTAAGTTTAATCTTTTGTTAAATATATATACTTGTGGATACTCAACAAAGCAATTAATTAAAATACATAATATACTTACATGAAGATAAAGCGTAATCTTACATTACGATATTTCTTCTCTTTTAACAAAAGACTTAATTTATGAGTCGTTGAGATCTTCGCTTTCAGATTCAGCGGAGCGTTGTATGTTGCCATTCTAATCAAAGAAAAAAGTAAATAAAATTAACACTCTCTATTCGAGAAAGTAATCAGCCTCTTTCGCTTTGTTATTGTTTTTTATGGAATGTTTTTGTCATATTAAATGGTTTTTTGTACAGGAAATGTAATTGTCCTCGCATGGCCACTTACAAGTAATCAAGGACGTGTTCTTTCGAATTCTGAGATTGATATTAGTCTTTTGATTAAGTATTTAAATGATAAAAGAATGCACCTTAAGACTATTTATTGAGCTGTTCAAAGTTTGAAACAAGTATTTTTATTTATTTGGTACTATGAAAAACATATAAGAATGTTTAATGACATAATAAACATATACAGATGCATTTTGTGGCAATATTAAAGGTGGATAAACAAAGAAAGTATGCTTTATTTTTTCATGATATATCGGAAACAGTGGTTTTTTAGATAAGAAATATAATTTTATAACTTTTCCCAAAAATGACTATCTAAAGTTTTTACTAATAATTTTTAACCAGTCATATGGTAATTTTCCCGTTCATATGGCAAAGGCTTACCAGAAATAATAGTTTTAAAAATTACAGTTCTCATTATCAGTTATTTAGTAAAAAATACAAAACTGACAAGTAAATTTAACCGAATTAATGGTTTTTATGCCTCGCTCTCAGATAACTCGATGAAATTATTGAATTTTATCAAATTTTATCACATAAAACCATATTTTATTGTTAATTTTACCAAAATCATTACCGAAGCGAAAAATTACCGAGTTTTTTGGTGTTCCCATAGAGGCAGAAACAGTGCAAATTTTACCATATTCTGGTAGTATTTAGCATAAATTTTTACGATTTATCCATAAGTACTATTCTTGGAAATTAAGTTTATTAAGTTTATTGCGCATCTATTTACTAAAATATAATTATTTTGCCTCGAAATGTATAAGGCTTTTGCATTGTATCCATAAAATTAGACAAATAATTAAATTTGGTTGATTTAACAAGCTCTTTTGCGCAACTAATACTAAATTTAACAAGTTCTTTCTTGCGGAACAAAATGTCTCGGGTAATACAGAAGTGACTATTATAAAGAGGAAATGCCAATTAGGCAAACGGTTGAGTAGCTGAAAATTGTTTAGCGTGATTTTTCACCTCAAATCATCAATTAATTATGTTTTCGTTTCACGCAAAATACGAATACCTTTCAAAAATGTGCATTATTTTGATTCGGAAATAAAAGAATTACAAAAAAAGTCATGGGATATTAATTTTTCGCAATTCAACATTGTTTAGTTATCGGTATATAATTGCTAAAAACTGATAAAGAAGACTTATTATTTTGAGACTTAGTTGATACAGAGTAAAACTAAAGTACCGGTCAAAACTATCACTTTTAGTGTTATTGGTCAAAACTATTACTGAGTCTTACTACTATTAGCATTATTGGCTATCATATGTTTCAAAAATAATTTCGTAATTTTTAGTCTTGAAAATTGTAAATCGTAAAAATAATTTGATAATTGAACCAATGTTTCATTTGATTTACGCAGTATACAGGGATAGGCTGTTATTAAATTTGGGTCTTAATTTTCATGCGAAGTATTTTCTCTGAGCGTTATATAGTTAATATAATATGTAATGCTGCTATATAATATGTAATGCTACATACGTTAATGACAAAATTTTTTATTGAAATACCACAGAAGCTAATAGTGTACTATAAATTAGAAAGTAATATAGTTTAAAACAGTATGAAATATAAATTGATATATTTGAAAACATGAACAATTGAAATCGAAATTTATATTTCATGGTAATGTTTTATTGAATGAAGCAAAAATACTAATTTAATAATGATAAAAAAAGTTGACTCCAATTGTACAAATTATCATATCCTTAATTATTATTGTTGTTGTTTCTAATGCCACTTGCCACACGGGCAAGCCTGCTTGGTGAAACCGAGCAAATTTAAGGTAGAGTGTGCGTTTCTTGTTTTTCAGTGGCGCCATCTATGGCCAAGAATTTTGCTTCTGCCACACCATACGTCGCACCCGTTTATAGGGCGGACCCATTCATACATCCATTCATTCATCCACAGATCGTAATATTGACCTGAATCAGAGAACGATTGATCTTCAATACAGTACTCCCAGAGGTACTGATTTATTATGGGAACATGGAGGACTTTTGCGACTCGACATATTTAACGTGCATCAGTCACTTTACTACACGGGGAGTCTTCGGCCTGCGGGGTTCGAACCCACGAACTGGCTATCCCGGCCACATCCTTAATTATGTAGACTTTAAATGAAAGGAAATCTGAAATTTGAATGAAATCGTTTGAATAGTTTCTGGCAAATTAATATTCAAAATTTTTTTTTTTAAATATTTTTGTTTCTCGGTTCGAATTTTAATAGTATGTCTTATAACTTAAAATTAAATTGTGAAAATAGTTGTAAAAGTTTTTATATTTTTAACTGTTTTCGATAATTTTTAAATAAAGTAATAATAAATATTTATTAAGAAGTATTGCTTTTTAAAGGAAAACTATTTTCAAGAAAGCATTTTTTATAAATGCTATTTTGAGTGCCAAAAATCCGAATTGGTCGGAAAATGATGTAATTTTATTCAGAGAAATTACATTTTTATGACTGATTTCGTCACTTTGTTGAACGGGAAAATCCTGAGATCAGATTTGAAAATATTTAGGTTGATTAATTTTCATTTCGCCGACTGTATAATTTAAGAATCGGATCAAGATTGGATATCGATTATTATTGTTCTAAATAAATAATTTCAAACATTTGAACAGCATTTCTTATAGTTCGAACTGCTCATAAACTCATTTCAATTTTAAACAATAAACATTCCTTACAGAAACAATTCATAATAAATAAAATTCATTTTCATTAAGAAATTCTTCTCTTTTCAAATGATACTTTGGCATTCTCAGCCATAATTTAATTAAAATTTCATGTTAATTTTCAAAGAGCTTTAAGGAAAACTTTTTATTTTTTATGTCTTCGTACAGCATTTATTAAAGCCGATTTCTCATAAATAAAATTATTAAATTAAAATGAAAAAAGCAAAAGGAAGCTATACTTCATTCTAAAGGTATGCGATTAATGACACAGTTCTAACAGTTCATTCGGCAAAATAAATTGCCTTTCTTAATGAAAAATAATTGTGCAAATGAAAGAAATTTTGAGGAAATAATAATTTTAAAATCAATGAGTTTTAAAAGAAATTGATTGCAGAAGAGTATTGGCAGTTAAAACGCTGAAGAAATTCTATAGAATATACTCTATAGAATTTCAAGTGTTAAATGTATATATTTTTATTTTACCTTTTATACATTCTAAAATATGCTTTTAAAGTATATACAATCATTTAAATAATTTTCATCTAAGTGAATTTAAATATTTTTATTTATTTTATGGTTTACTTATATTTGCCTTAATTACTTGTATTTACTATACCTATTTATATTCATTATACTTATTTATATTTACTGTATTCCTTAAAAAAATATAAATTCTAATTTCATATTTTTTTCATATTCTTTTGTATTTTACTTGTTAAATGTAGAATCAAAGTATCTGTGAACAAGTTGTTTCTCGTATTGTTTCGTTTAAAGAAATTGTGAGGTGATATAAATCCTTTTTTAAAAATAAAATAATTGAAAGAAAAAAAAAGAAGAAGAAAAACTTTTTCATGCTACTGAATGAAAAAGTAAGAAATTGCAACTTAAAACAATCAGGTTGATTAGGTTTCAGAAAATTTTCAGACATGTTCATTTTATAGACTTATTATTTTGTACACTGGCAATTTCATTAAAAAAATAGTAAAAACAATAATAAAAAACATGATTTATTTAAAAACAAAATTAAACATTAAATTCAAACATTTTTCAAATTATAAAGCAAGAAAAATTTTTTCTCTTTGCGATTTCTCAGAATTTTTAAATTTTTTTTAAATTTCTGCACATTAATTTTATTTTAATAAATCTGTGTTGGTCTTATTGTTTAAGTAAAAATTTTTTTTTTGAACAACTCGATCAAAGGAATTAAGGTAAATAAGGTAAGATAAATTAATGAATGAAACATATTATTTCAATGCAATGCAATACAAAATAAAAACAAGAAACAAACACAAGGAATAAATTGATCAAGTCACTTTTGTGTCTCTAGGTTCATGTCAGTGACTACATATTTCGAGAATGACTTGAATCTTAAAAATTATAAACTAATATGCCAAAAAATAAAAAAGGAATATTTTTCTAGCAATTTCTAGCAATTTATACAACAAATTTCTAGCAATTTATGCAAAATGGAGAGTGACATACAGCACGAAGGACTTGTCTTCCGGATCTTAAATAAAATATTCAGAATATATTTCATTCACGTATAAAAACGTCATAATTCAGTACCATTTATGTAATCATAAATATGTAATAATAAATCATTTATGTAATCATAAAGCTTTTTTTTAATCCTTTATCTACAGATAATGATTGTGTAAAAATATATAAATGGCAAATTTAACAATTTTTCTTCTTCACCGCAATG